AAAAAGCAACTGCGACAAACAGTAAACACAAACAACAACATGGCTGAGTGAGAGCAAAGTGCACAATGAGATGGCTACCACGAACACACACACAAACCTTTTGCAAGCAAAGGGAGCTGCTTAAAAGCAAAATGCAAAATAATTGTAAAAACAAAATGCAATGCACTGACGCCGAAACAATAAATTTATAAAATAAATAACTGTTAAATGCAGAATTACTGTTAAATGAACGCTTTATGTTCTTGACGAAATAATTTTTCAGTTAGTCCGTTACATTTTTGTTCTTGTAACTAATATTTTTTAAAGCTCGTTTTTCCCCCTTTGGAGCTCGAATTTTCCAAAATCCCTCTTAGTGCGCACCTACACTATGTTGCACCGATACTATCGATATCGATTGTAGTGTCCAATTTCCTACAGGGGCAGTCATAAACGACTTGAGTGTCATACTCTTATATTTTTATCTTCCCTTTATGCTGCGGTCACCTTGGATAAGCGGAGCAGCATCATACGATTATGCCGTTGCTTATCAGGGCACACGTTTTTTTTTAGCAGACTTCGGCTAAGCGCTAAGGTTGTTGTTGGTAAAGATTGGCTTTGGTTGATAATTACATAGGGAGTTTAACAGACTAAGTCTGTCAAGTGAGTGTGGCACTGTCAAAATATTCGCACATGGGAATAAAATAGTGCTTAATTAAAAATTGAATTTATCGAAAAGTTACAATTAATATTAATTCCCCCAAACGACACTTTGTTCCGTTTTCTGCTGGAGTGGGCAGGTAATACAGTGTCGTTTTATTGTAAATATTGCCTACAATTGAAAAGTATTTCAGTGCCTAGGGCCAGTGCCCTCACCCCTACCCCTCACCCTTGAGGTTGGTATTCTTGCATAGGGGCACCCAAATCTCGGTCCTATAGGTTGATGAATCTCCGCCACATAGGCAGATGAAGATGGTTCGGTAAAAAACGACCACGACCGTGACGTCAGGGTTAGGAAGCCGTCGCCGCTTTAGTTACGGGCGACAGCGCTGCTATTATCGTGCGTATTTCGTTAACTGCGCTGCGCCTATTTTTATATGGATTGGCGCTGCGACCGCGTCATGAAGTTGGAGCTATACTTTACTATTTAAGTAAAAGCAGATGCTGGCAGCTAATCGGCTTGAACATTTTTCCTGAGCACCGTGAAAGGATACTTTTGGGATCACCGTGGGTGAATAGCGATGCCATCTCAAAAAAGACCAATTTCCCAACAATGTGCTCGGTCTTTTCATCTTGTTTTATATAATGAAAATCGTGGATCAATCAAGTGGCTTAGAAGAATTGCATTTTTTTTTATATATTGTTATCAAGCAATTCGGGCGCTGCGTCACATTACGCCACTTCAGGGTAAAATAGCTTTTCATTAACGTTCAAAACTTTCAGCCAATCTTAATCGGCTTCAAACAAAGAAAATAACCTAAAAGAAGATAAAATTTCGGTGATTATAACGAAACATGCGAAAGAAATATGTGAATACCTTAATTTCAAGTTCTTTTGTAATTATTTGTAATCTTAAAAAGTTTCAACTCACGCATGTTTATGTAAAAATGTTGATCCACTATGTATGAAACCTATGTCTTTTTATACTCTGTACATGAAATGTACAAGAGTATATTAGGTTTGCGCGAGCTGAAAAATGTAACAGGCAGAAGGGGGCGTGGCAGACCCCACAAAGTATATATATTCTTGATCAGCATGACAAGACGAGTCGATTTAGCCCTGTCTGTCTGTCTGTCCGTTCGTCCGTCTGTCCGTCCGTATGATCACCTAGATCTCAGAGACTATAAGAGATAGAGACACCAAATTTTGCACATGATGCCTCATGTGTGTATTCTATACGAGTTTGTTTTATTTTTTTGATTCCCCCCCCCCCCCACTTCCCCCCTATGGGGGTTTTCCCGATTTTCCATTCGTATAATCGCCTATATCTCGGAGACTATAAGACCTAGGCACACCAAATTTTAGTCCAAGATGCCTTGTGTGAATACGCAGAAAATGTATATTTTGGGATTTCCCTCCCTCCCCCCTCTCCCAATCAAAAGCGATTTTCTCTAACTCCCGTAATTCTTGGAATTTCGAACTAAAATTTTGCAAATACCCCCAGTTAGTAATTATGTGTCCGTATGCCAAGTTTCACTATGATAGACCGATTTACCAAGAAGTTATAGCCATAAATATATTTGCTGCTGCAGCGCTGCCCACGGCTGTTGTTGATGTTGCTGTTTGGTTGACTGCGAAAATGCTTACACAGACACGAATTGATGCGCATAGGCATACATACACTCATACAGACGCAATTGCTATGTAAATGTGCAATTATACACCCTTTACGTGAGTTCGAATACCGAGAGAGGTAATATCGATCCAATTTTTTTTTTATTTTTTTTTTATTTTCTATAATTATTGTAAACATATGTACAGAGTATTTCAAAGTCGGGACACCCGACTTTAGCTTTTTTACTTGTTTTCTTTTTACTTAAATGTAAACTTCAATATTCTTAATAGCTAATGCAATTCTTAAAACTATGAAATGACCAAACAACCTATAATAACGCTATTCATGCTGCCACTCAACATACCTCATTTGAACTCTTTATGAGAAGTTCGCATGTATTCATCAGAGACATACAATAAGCCCGAATTGAGGCAAAAAATTTACCCACGAATTCAAGAACTCGTCGCACGGCAAAAGAATCGTAGAACAGAAAAATTAAACGAAGATAGGAGCCCACCCGACAAATTCGACACAGAAGAAACTGCATTTAGAAAGGAAAACCGACGAAATAAAATCACACCAAGATTTAGTAAGCAAAAAGTTCTAGAAGACTCAGGAGTAACGTTAACCACCAGCAAGAATAAAAAAAAAATACACAAATCCAAGCTTAAGGGAATAAAAAGAAAGAGAAAATAATGAATAACTGAATTTTACAGATCAACTACGGTCTCGGGAGGACATATTGAATTTCATTCAATCACCGAACAACAACCAATTGCAAAGATCAACCTAGGACCGGCAAGGACAGAAACACATTTAAGACCATTTCACATGTTATTGATCTAAAAGAATATGAAACACCTTCTTAAAGAAAAGTTGCACCAATTTGAAAATAGAGTTAAGAGTCTCACGAATTTAAGAATTTAATAATGAGATATTATTAAGATTCACAAATATTTCAACACATATTAATAAAAACAAGTACAGAAGCTAAAATCGGGTGTTCCGACTTTGAAATACTCTGTACATATGTGTAGAATAATTATGCGTGTATGTGTGTGTGTATGTCTCGTGTGCCTGTGCAAAGCAGTAACAACAGCTGCGGGCACTGCTTGGTCATACATATAGCCATATATGTGGCTATAACTTCCTGTTAAATCGGCGTATCATGATGAAACTTAGCATATCATATCATGATGAAAATTAAACAAACTCTCACAGCGTACACACATAAGGCATCTTTGTGCAAAATTTGGTGTCTCCAGGTGTTCATACGGACAGACGGACAGACAGACAGACAGGGCTAGATCGACTCGTCTCGTCATGCTGATCAAGAATATATATACTTTGTGGGGTCTGCCACGCCTCCTTCTGCCTGTTACATTTTCAGCTCCCGCAAACCTACAGAGTATAAACAGAATTAGATGTATTGTCATTTAACAATTTAACATTTATTTATTGGCGCGCATTATTGGTATCAAGTCAATTGGTCAAGCAGCCGGCGCAGGCAGCGCAGTCGTCCGCAGCAGACGCATAATTATTCATATATACAAATTGTACCTTGCTCTGCGAAGCAAGAAACGCTAAACGTTTAATAACTCTTATAATGTTTGCTTTGATCGCGTTCAATAATTGCTCTTTGTACATTTCCTTTTGTTATCCTTTTCTTAGTCTCTGCAGCTGCCAGTGCCGCTGCAATCGAAGTTAGTTGACCTAGATTCGCCGTGCCAATCTAACGCTTCTCGCTGTGCTGTTGTACGAGACAACGCACTTCTACTTTTGCGCATATTGTTTAAAGGCTGAACTGTTTAAGTTGGTGGCCTCTTAAATTCGTGTATATCAATTTGGTTTATAGGCAAACATAATTGGCCCTGCGCGGCAAAATATACATATGTACATTTAAAAATAAATCGTTCTTGTTTTAATTGTCGTGTCTGACGCCCGCTTCAGACAAAACCCATAGACTAAAAAAGCCTACCGAAAAAGCTCGGTGCCTCAACAGTGTTTATGTGACTTTTTCCCGCAACAGACCTTACAAAACAGCCAGATTTAAAGGGAAAAGCGAAATTGGCAGTCCTGTTTGTGGTAAAGGTGGAGAATTATCGATAGTCTGCACCATCGATAGTGAACGATAGTTTTCAGAAAACCATCGATAGTAAACGGATTTCAGCAAATATGTTTAAAAATACTAATTTAAGTTTAAGTTAAACAGCAAACTAAAATTTAACAAAAAATAAGTAATATTTCGTTGTTATTAATGTAAAAAATATTGATTCATAAGCATAATTATATACATATTTTGATATAAGCCATGGGTTCTTATTTAAAAAGAGCAACAAATTAATTTCCATAGCTTCAACAAAGAAGCGTTCGGTTTGAATTTGATAGATTGGGATTTGTTACTACTATTGCAGTGATTTGATTTACGGGACTATCCACGCCTGGATTAAAGCTCTTTAATTCATCTTATAAATTCGAGGTGTTTCCGCTTGTCTCATATTCATTTCGGCAGCTTGGTAAGATTTTTTATCATCCGACACTTTAAAGCTTTTTTAAGTTTCGGTACATTTTTTTGTTTGGATATTTTCTCTTTTTTAATATATGGTACTCACATTCGACAAAATTAAATGTTAATGCTTTAACATTAATTCAAATGTAATCAATCAATTTATTATCTTCTTTGATATATATACATACATATGTACAAGTATATTCATTTCCTGGTATAATTTTTTAAAATAATTTTCAGGTACCCGACTTATAGATTACATATTAAATCAAATGAAGAGCAGCGGAATATAACTGTACAAGGACCATATGTAGGAACTTGGTTCGCAATCGCATTCATTAATTGGACAAATCCCATTCATGATAGGATTGAGCAACAAGGTAATTTATACATGCATGAGAATTTCAATAAGAAAGCAAGGCTATAATTGAGCGGTCTCAATTATTCAATATCCTGTTCCCTCTTCCACAAAAAATAAAATAAAACAAAATTTAAAAAAAAAAACAGAGAGAACGCTACAATCGAGCAGACTCTTCACAAAAAAAGGAAAATTGAAAAAGCTAAAGTCGGGTGCCCCGACTTTGAAATACTCTGTACATATGCTTAGAATAAAAAAAAATGTTGATCGATTTTACCTCTTTTGGTATTCGAACTCACGTAAAGGGTGTATAATTATAATATGTGAGTGTATGAATGTCTATGTGCGTCTATTCTTGTATGTGCACCAACATCAACAACATCTGCGGGCAGCGCTTAGCTCTTATAGTCTTTGAGATGCAGGTGTTCATACGGACAGACAGACATAGATCGACTCGTCTTGTCAAGAATATCAAAAATATATATACTTTGTGTGGTCTGGCGGAGAAGGTGTGCATTCTTCCAAAATTCCAAAAAAAAAACTCGTTCTTTCTCGGATCTAGGAGAATCTGGATACCAAATTTGGTTATTCCAGCTTTTATAATTTCTGAGATCCTTGCGTTCATCCAGACGGACAGACGGACGGACATGTCTAGATCGATTTCTTTCGTCATGCTGATTCAGAATATATATACTTTATAGGTTCGGGGATGCTTCCATCTGCATGTTACATACTTTGCACAAACCTAATATACCCTTTTTACGCTTCGGGTACAGGGTATAAAAATGTAATTAATTAAATTAATTAACTAAATAAAATATTCAACACATGCAAACATACATAAGTGTTTATATACAATTTCAATAGAATAAATTTACATCAGAATCGTTAGAACAAAGTGCAGCGATTTTATTTACTTTCTTCAGAATTGACCTATTATGATAAAACTTGGCATACGGACAGATAGCCACAAACTGGATGTATATGCCAAATTTATTTTCAATTCCAAGAATTACGAGAGCTATGAAAAACAAGAATTGCGGGAGAGTAGGGGATGTGAATCAGAATAAACAGGAAAGAAATGCTAAAGTCGAGCGAGCTCAACTCTTATATACCCTTCATCTCCCACCAAAAAGGAAGAAATAGAAAAAAAAATTTGAAATCCGACTTTAGCTTCGCCACTTGTTTTTATTAAATGCAGCCCTGAAAGTCGACTGTTTAGGACGTGCAAACCTAATATACTCTTATACATTTCATGTACAGAGTGTAAAAGTTTTGTTTACTATGACCATTGGAGTATATTATTCTAGAAAAAAATTTTGTTTTTAACACGCTTTTATTAGCTTCACCTGTATGTATGTATGTTTGTAACGGAATCTTTCAGCGTAATTTTTTACAAATTTCCATAAGTCTGATCAGATAAAATTTGCACAGGGGTCAATGGCTGATGACAATACAATAATTCTAAAATTCATCCAAATCGGTCAATTCTAAGAAAAGATATTAGCGAACAACTTTACTACGCCCACAAGTTACAGCATCCGATTTGCGTCAAACTGTCCACACCACAGAATAGCAACGAGTATGTTCAAGTATGTTCGACCACCCTTGCTGAAAATGCAATCAAATCAGATCTTTGCTTGGTTGCAAACGAGTTCGAACGGGTTGTTTGCTTATGATCGAACTTGAATGAACCAGCGTTCTATTTTTGCGAACAAGTGCCAGCCTTGATTGGTTTGCTTTCAAACATTTCAGACATTGTCTCGAGTATTGCGTGGGTTTTACCCGAGTATGACCGTAAAAAAAATGCATGTATATACATATTTATGTATTTGTGCGTGCATGCTTTGCTTGCAATTATGCGCAAACATGTGTTGTATTCTTTATTATGAATTAATTGTATAGGATAGAAGTGGAGATATATAAAAAAAAAGAAAATATAAATGTAACAGCCCATTGCACGGCCCATGTGTTGAAATCTCCGCCTATTATAACGCGGCTGCGCCCCCTGGCGTCGTCTACGGCTGCGTCAAGGACAGCGGCGAACTCCGATATGGATAGGCTGGGTGGGAGGTAGCAACTATAGACCCACAGGTCAGAAACTTTGGCTCTTACAAAGTAGTTTGCAGCTTTGCATTCCGAGAAAGCGGGCGTTCTGCGATCGCAATGTCATAGAGCAGCCTTACCGGAAAGATCCACTGTCCAATTGCTGTTGCTATACGTTTTATATGGCTCGCTGAGTATCACCAGACTAATATTCAGCTCGCCGATAGTCTGCAGTAGCAGGTCTTGTGCTGCAATGCAGTGGTTCAGATTGAGCTGCAAGAACCTTATCATTTTAATAGTCTTACCGCCTCCTTGTACGCCGGGCACTTAAAACTACCTGTGGCATGGTCAGTCGCTGGTAGACTGTCTTTTGCGCATAATGCACATCTCGGGCTGTTTAGGCAGTTCCTGGCTAGGTGGGCACCTTTTCTCCGCACCTGTAGCACGCGTCTTTCAGATCTTCAGCGCTGCTATACCTAGCTGCCGTATGACCAAAGCCTAGGCACTTGTAGCAGCGAGTTGGCCGAATCACCCCGCGGGTGCGGCAGATTTTCCAGCCTATCCTCACTTTACCGGTTTCTATAAGCCTCCTTGCTTTCTCCGTTGGCAGCGATAGTACAGCAATCTGTTGACCGCCGCTTACCTTGCGGATTGACTTCACTGCGTCCTGCCCAATGCTGAGGTCCTCGCTGATCGACCTTAGCGCTGCCAATATCTCCTCCTTGGTTGCTAGTTTATCCAGATCCCGGATCTCTCGTTGGGCCTCGTCCACCAACGGCTTGACTACAGCCATACCCTGAAGGGCCGCCTGCACAGCTTCTTGAAGCTCGCCGATGTCGTGCGTCTGTGATCTGCTCAATTGTAAGAGCAGGCTGCCATTACCCGTTCTTCTGATCCGTTGAACATAATTTTTTAGTGACTGCAGAGCCGGAGCCGATTTCACTGCCTTCAGCGTACTGGGTTTCCCCAACGCCTTTGGCTATAATGGCATCTGGTCTCCTGGGCTTCGCTCGCTTCTGTCGCTGGACCTTCGCCCAGGTGCCATTCTTGGGAGCGAGAGTAGCAATGGGGGGGGGGGGGGTTGCCATTTCCCTTCACTAACTGAGCGAGGTCTAGCGGCTGGGTGTCTAGGGTCTGGGCGCTCATTCTCTGCGATGCGGAGGCGAGCTTTTGGTCACGTGCTTTATGCTTTTTTGTTGGAGTCACGCGCTGGTTGCTTTTGGGGTCCCTGAGCCTTTTAGGGGTGCCTGCTTGGGGGTAGCTTGACACTTTAGGCCAGGCCTCAGCCGTTTGTACGCTAGTTTCTCTTAAAGGCTGTTTCACACCAATGCATGTCCATTCTATCTTGCTGCAAATCGAGCTATGCATTGGGCTGGAAAGCCGTTTGGCGACTCTTCTGCCGGCAAAGGCGTAGTCAACAAAGGCGTTGTCGGCAAAGGCAATGCCAGGCTTGTCGAGCATGGCGTATTCGCCGGCTCGGCTGCGTTTGCTGCACGCGAAGAAGCGACAGATGGACACAAAAGGGGGTAGCTGTGAAGCGTCACGGACGGAAGAGCAGACTTTGGTAAGGATCTGGCCACCAGAGACCTACGTGCGAAAGGGTTCACTCCTGCTACAGCTTCGTTGGTTTTTGCCAAAATTTCTTCACCCAGGGTTGCCAAAGGGAAAGAGGCGCCTCCAAGTGGACCTTTGGTTGTGCCTGATGCCCACCTGGTGGCTGATCGGTGGGAGCCACTTTCTGTAGCCCATTCAGTTGCAAGTCGGTCATCGAGGCGAGTTCGTGGCGAATTCCCTCGATGGCCAAGTATTTCACCTTGACGGGATGGGGGTTATCCCGCCCCTGCTCGGTCACCAGAACCCCACTCGGGTACATTTCATGTACAGAGTGTAAAAGTTTTGTTTACTATGACCATTGGAGTATATTATTCTAGAAAAAAATTTTGTTTTTAACACGCTTTTATTAGCTTCACCTGTATGTATGTATGTTTGTAACGGAATCTTTCAGCGTAATTTTTTACAAATTTCCATAAGTCTGATCAGCTAAAAATTTGCACAGGGGTCAATGGCTGATGACAATACAATAATTCTAAAATTCATCCAAATCGGTCAATTCTAAGAAAAGATATTAGCGAACAACTTTACTACGCCCACAAGTTACAGCATCCGATTTGCGTCAAACTGTCCACACCACAGAATAGCAACGAGTATGTTCAAGTATGTTCGACCACCCTTGCTGAAAATGCAATCAAATCAGATCTTTGCTTGGTTGCAAACGAGTTCGAACGGGTTGTTTGCTTATGATCGAACTTGAATGAACCAGCGTTCTATTTTTGCGAACAAGTGCCAGCCTTGATTGGTTTGCTTTCAAACATTTCAGACATTGTCTCGAGTATTGCGTGGGTTTTACCCGAGTATGACCGTAAAAAAATGCATGTATATACATATTTATGTATTTGTGCGTGCATGCTTTGCTTGCAATTATGCGCAAACATGTGTTGTATTCTTTATTATGAATTAATTGTATAGGATAGAAGTGGAGATATATAAAAAAAAAGAAAATATAAATGTAACAGTGGAAAAGAAGTGTAAGAATGGAAATTTAAAGATAAAGGAAAAATAACAATATCAATATATGCCGGTCGACGTCCAGGCGGTACGACCGTTAGGCATTGCTTCGCCCGGACGAACACCCGCTTATATAGCGCTTCTCTCCCGCTCCTGTTTCCTGAGCTTGATCATGACGGAGGCCGCAAAGTTTGCGCTCGCAGCCCACGAATCTTCATTAAGAAGCATGTTGGACACAAAGTTCGTCGCAGTTGGAAGAGTGCCGATTATCGCTTCCAATCTCCTTCTGTCCGCTTCAAACCGTGGGCATTTGAAGGCTACGTGATTTGCATCTTCCGATATCCCTCTGCAGGCAGGGCATTCCGCACTGGAGTCCTTCCCGAATTTATTGAGATAACTTCTGAAGCAACC